TATAAACTCTTTTTATAAATCATTTGAAAGATTCTGGAATAATCTATACATTTCTATTTCTTTAAATCTTCAAGTCAATATGAATAAAAAAAAATTGTCAGCGCGACTCCATAAGGGGTCAAAGTGTGAAACTCGTAAATTCTGATTGGCATAAATTTATGGTATGGTGTCAGATGGGTTTAAATAATATATTTAAAAAAATGCCGAATAAATAAAAATGATAATAATGATTATAGTTGGTAGACACGCTTTGAAATTTTATCATTTTGAAAATATTTGCATTTAGAATTTCTAACATAACTTCTTTTCTTCTGATGATAATATATATGACACATGCTATAGGAAATGACAAACATCATCTTATAGTTTTTTTGGTCGGTTCAATCATCATATTGGCTTTACCATTGAGTTTCGCCTACGTTTAGAATTTAATCAGTTCATACTTTTCTATATCTATCCTATTCTGATTCCGATAGATCAATAATATCTCCTACAATAAGACCTTTCCGCTGTAATACATATACAAACCTGCAATATTTAAACTAGTTAGAATCTATATAAGAAATCTTAGATTCATTAAATGCTTTGGAAGATTCTAGAAAATTCGAAACTGATCTAAGCATTGTTATTACTGATGCTTCTTTTTCCGTTATTAGAAAAACGTATTCTCTTTGACAAACAAATCATTCAGCATTGATTAAAAAATCAAATAGATGACAAGTACATTTCATTCGATTTTATTTAAATCATCAACTATAAATTAAGCATAATTCAATCATGACATGTTTCAAAAAAATGAAAAGACATATTTACAATAAAAAACATCTATAAAAAAAAATTGATGCCAGTCTTTAAAAACAACGAAGAATTTTTCAAGGTTTTTTTTCTAATTTCTTCTAGTATAGATAGTAATTCATTTATGTATTTTGATCGATTTATTTTTTGAATTATATTTAAAAATAGATTTAAAATAAAATATCTAAAAGAAAAAACGAAATAATTTATTAACCTAATTAAACATGTTGTTTATTTTTTAGTGATGTTTTTTTTTGTTTATTTGTAAAAAGTAATAATCTAATTCTGATTGTTCAACTTGACTAGGTGCTTGAGCCATAAGATCTTTTCCATTACTTGTTTTTGGAAAAGCTATAACATCTCGAATATGTTCTGTTTCAAGTACTAAAGCAAGTAAACGATCTAATCCAAGTGCAATACCACCATGTGGTGGTGCACCATATTCAAGTGCTTTTAATAAATGTTCTAAATGTTCAATTGGTAAATTAAGAATATCATGAAGAATAAAACGTTGTATAAATGAATCATAAATTCTAATTGAACCACCAGCAACTTCAAAACCATTTAAAACAAGATCATAATGTTGACCTATAATACGTGACCAATCTTTTTTTGATGATAAAAGTGATAAATGTTGATCAATTGGTGCTGTAAATGGATGATGAGTTGATTCTAATTTTGTTCGATCATCTGTCATCGGGGTAAATAATGGAAAATCAGTTATCCATAAAAAATTCCATTGACGTCTTTTTCTTAATTCAATTTTATATTGTTTTTCAAGTATATCAGCTAATTTTAAACGTAATCTTCCCATTTTAATTAAACATTCTTCTTCATTATCTGTTTTATTTAATAGAAATTTTCTATTATTATTATCATATTGTATATCATTATCATCGATTATACATTTAATATCATTCAAAGAAATAGGACTTGTTATTGAAAGTTGTTCTAAATTATGTTCAATTTCAAGATCAAAACGTGTATCAGGTTTATCTGTTCCATAACGTGACATACATTCAGCAAAAGTTAAACGAGGAAATGGAATTTTTTCAATTTTATCAGGCCAACATGCAACTAAAAGTTGTTCAATTAAAGAAAAAATATTTTCACGTGAAACAAAACTTAATTCTAAATCAATTTGAGTAAATTCAGGTTGTCGATCAGGACGTCCTAAAACAAACATAGATAATTAATCTTCGTGTAAAAATTTAGTCATTCAAGACAATTAAAAAGTAGTCAGTTTTATTTCAAATTTTATATTCTTTTTTTTTTGCATATTTATTCAGGATAGTTTTTTTGATTGACGACTGATTCACAACGAGCATATACTTCAATGATCAATTTTTCTGTTTCTCATCAGACTCGATCATAATTGGTAATTGAAATCATTCATCAGAATCTACAAAATTTTTTATTTTGATTAAAATTGCTTTAATGCGAAGGACATACAAATTTCACAGTACTAATTCTTACAGTTCAATTCCAGAAATTGGCGAAAGTTCTATTTTTATGGAACTTTTACCTGGCACAAACTGAACTATTGGCAATTGCCAAGAGTCAATTGTAGAAAATTTTGAATTCACTCCTCATTTCATATATCGTTATTAAGGATCGGAACATGGTGTACATTAAATATCGAAATTAACAAAAAGCACTTTCTTCCAGTAAAATACTGCCTTACGTAAAAAGACGATTTTTTTCAGAGAATAACTGTCGCTTGCAATCTCTGACTTATTGTTATCTATGATATTGTAGAAAATTGAATAGTTAATAATAAAGCATTATTTTTTGAATATCATAGTCAAAAAAAGTCTTATAAATTAGGAAAAACATTTTGAACATATATTTATGAAAAAACATATTCGAATTGACTACTTTTAATTCTCTTCAATGATAGAAAATATTGTGTAAAAAGAAAAAGATTTTACACATGATTTAATTTTAAAATAAAGATTAAAACCTGTTTCATCTCGAAAACATTTTGCTATTTGAAAATATCGATCAAATCCACCTATCATTAAAAGTTGTTTAAATTGTTGTGGACTTTGTGTTAATGCATAAAACAATCCACCATTTTGTAAATGAGTTGGAACAATAAATTCTCGTGCACCACCAGGTGTACGTCGAAATAATGATGGAGTTTCAATATCAATAAATGAATGTTTTAATAAAAATTCTCGTACTTTTGCAATAAATGCTGAACGAAAACGAATACGTTCTTGCATTATATCACGACGAAAATCTAAATAACGATACATTAAACGTGTTGATTCATCTGATTCATGATATTTTGATACATCAAGTGGTAATACAGGTAAACAAGCATTTATTACTTTGAAATCTGTTACATGAATCTAAATTTAATTTTATATTTACATTTTAAATATGATTAAACTTACTTCAAGATGACCTAATAACATATTTGTATTAATATCTTTTTCAGGTCGTTTTTTAAGTATTCCATTAATATATATACATGATTCAACAGGTGTTTGTTTGAATATTTGACGTTCTTCTTTCATTGATGATGGAAGAATAAATTGAATAAGGCCTGAATGATCACGAAGAACTCCAAATGAATTCATACGACGATATTGTAACCATCCATGAAGAGACACTGATCTATCAATTATATTTATATTAGATAAATCAGATACTAAATATTGTCGATATGAAAAATTAGTTGAAAACGATGATGATGATGATGATGATGACGATGATGAAACAAATCGACAATGACGTAGTGTTGGCAAAAACCGTTTTACAATATTAGAAAACATATCTTAAAAATCAAAGATTTTATTTAAAATAAACAATTTCTCTAATAGAATACATTGAAAATGCATTCTTTCAACGAAATAATCCTCTATCTATATAATCGTAAGAGTACATCATTGGAGTGGAACGAATAGTCTCTGTCATCGTAACAGGGGAAATACTAGTATCAGCGAAATAACATTTCTCGTTTTTTATCTGTGATTTCTGCTTTTTCCACAATCTCTTTTCAAATGAATAGTAAAGATATCTGCAAATTCGTGCAATTATTCTCTTATAATCTAGAATGAAAATCTTATTTGAATAAGATCAATTATTCCATATTCATATATTTGTTACTGAAATTGATATAATTCATTTGAGATGTTCAGAAGATAGTTTGTGAATCAAAGTTTATTGCAATCAATAGATGTGCAATAGAGTCACTATCGATAAAAAGAAGTACGAATCACAGGATAATTTATTAGTATTCTAAACGGATATGCAACAATGAAGCCGACGAGTATGTTACAAACATATGGTTTTGTTAATAACAACTTCTTTTAATGTAACTATATCTTAGTAATGGAAAAACCTTCGTGCTACCTCAAATTCATCGTACACTCATTGATTTTATCATTATCTATGATACAAAATATTCTTTTTTTTGAATTTCTAGCTACAGATGATTGCAGTGGTGTATTGAGCCATGAGCCATTGGGCAATTGTCCTCGACTCTAAGAGTTACTGTTCAAGGATTTGTTTTAAATAGGGAAAATTGCCCATCGCTGCCTACTCCTCAAAACAGTTTAACTGGTAAATTGTCCACAAATGAAGAGTTCCTAACTACGCCACTGAAAACGTTTCACAAAAATTACATATAATAATTTACCATATAAAATCACATATTGAAACAAATCTATTAGTAAGTCAAAGCTACAATTTATTTCTAGATGATTATTTTTCAATCTTTACATTTATTAATGCAATATGTATTCGATCTAAAATATACATATTCTTGTAGATCTTAGATATCTTTATCCTTTGGTCTATTAAATAATGATTTTTATAAATAGAAACTAAGATTTAATATATTTTTAATTCTAATAATTTTTTAACATGCTTCAAAAAGAAATAAATATTCATTGGCCGTATGATATACGAATCATATTCAAGATGGTACAAACAATTTATCCTTTTTTTTTTATGTTTTGTTTTAGCTTGTTTTGTTTTAATTTTAATCAAGATGAAAATGAATTGAATAACTAAAATAAATAAAAAATTCGATATGTTTATTTTCATTGGTTAATCAAAAGTATGAAGGAAAAAAAAAGGATCTATACTCTACTCTGTTATTTGTCGGTGTTTTGCTTCAAGCAATACGAAAGATTATTTTCTTTTTGCCCTTCAGATTTTATCTTTTCTCGTTTACAAGATCAAAAACAAATATGAATATGTCAACTGCACAAAATAAAAAGTGTAGTAAATGTGACAAAATTGTCTATCCAACAGAAGAAATCAAATGTCTTGATAAAGTAAGTTTTTCATTTTATTCTTGTTTTTTATATCTCTTCTTCAACTCAATATTAACCATTGTTTATTTTTGTCATTAGACAAAAAGGTAATTTCATATAGTCATCCATTGCCTGTACTTTTTTATCTTTACCAATCAGTTTTCAATGGAAAAACAATGCATGAATTTCTCGTTCTTCTACAGAATATGTACACACCTCCTATTCGCTAAATAATTTGATTATATACAAATTAGCTTGATTTCACAATGGAAAATATTCTATACGAATGAAGATGTATATGTATTCTGTACAAGGACTGAATTTATTTTCCTGCTAGAAAAATAAAAATTATTGCTATTTAATAATAAATAAATATTTATTGTTTTTTTGTTAGTTTTGGCATAAAGGATGTTTAAAATGTACAGTGTGTGGAACGACACTTAATGTCAAAAATGTCAAGGGTTATGATAAAATGCCATATTGCAATGGGTATGAAATAAAAATAATTAATAATTATTAATCGAAAAAATAATATTCTTTTAGGCATTATCCACAACCAAAGCCAACTGTTGTTGTTGATAATCCAGAAATGCAACGTATTCGATTACTTACAGATATTCAAAGCAATGTATTGAAATTTATTTTGAAAAAAAAAAAAAAAGTAAAATATTTAATACATGAGTTTATTTTTTTCTTTTTTCTAGGCGAAATATCATGAAGATTTTAATAAAAGTAAAGGAAAATTTACTGTTGTAACTGATGATCCAGCACTAATACGAGCTAAAGAACAACAACGCATGGTTAGTCAAGCAGAATATACAGGCAAACGAAAAGATAGTACATCACAAGTTCTTGCTCAAGGTTTAATATATTTATTATTAAATATTTTTTAGTTATAAGTTTTTGTTTTTGTTTTTCTATTTTAAAGACAATAATCAACAACCCAGTGGAAATAATACTAACAATCGAGGTTTTAAAACATCTGAAGCAGCAGTAGGTCGTGGTAAGTTCATTTTATTTATTATTCTTTCTTTTTCTATTGAATATTTCTAGTGGCTGATTATGATCCGATCAATGATGATCGTGGTTCATTAGCAAGAGGTTATGAACCAACAGCAAAAATTATGCATTCTACTAGTAAGTATATCGTATTTTAACATATATAATACGTCTCTCAATTAAAGATAATATTTTAATCTTCGATTCTTCTTTCCAACAATAAATAGTAAATGAAATTCAAATGAAAAATAAGATATCGTAGAAGTTTTAAATTATTGAATATCATGTCTTCAATAAAACTGTAGAACCAATTTAGTTACGGATTCATACTTTTAACGTAGCCTGTCTAAAGATGTATGGGATCGAGGCTATGAGAAAAAAAATTGTCTAAACTCGAACTGAATATTATAGCTAAATATTCTATGGTTTTAAGCGAATTATATCAATCAGAACATAATTCAAGAGAAATGACTCAAAAAAAATGCTAATCATCGACTAAATAAATAAAAACACAAGTATTGAAGAAATTCTCGGATATTTTTCTCTCGATCGGGACTAAAAAAAACTTGTTCTCACATATGTCTAAGCCTGTTAGATTTCATGATAGTATTTATAATGACAATTTAGATACAAATAATATCTTCATTTTTGAATAAGAAAATATTTTAATTTTTTGAATATAGCATATGACATAAATCAAAAAAGTTCCGCTCAATCAAATACAAAATTTAATAATATTAACAGTAGTGGAAATGAAAATAAAAGTTCACATAATACATATGAAAATGCACAACAAATTTCAACAAAAAATATTCATCATGATGAACAACATTCACATGGTGATACTCAATCTACACAGGTTAATTATTTATTTCGAAGAAAACAAAAAAAACTTTTATATTTTATTTAACAAATATTTAGATGAAAGTTCGTGCACTTTATTCATATACTGCAGCTGAATCGGATGAAATTAGTTTTGATGAAGGTGATATTCTTGTTCAATGTGAACAGGTTGATGCTGGTTGGATGTTAGGTCAAAATCCTAAAACAGGTCAACAAGGTCTACTTCCATCGAACTATGTGGAAATTATTGATTGAGAATGAAAATATTTGTTTTTCTTGTTTTTGTTTTCATTTATTTGGGCATTTTCTTTATTTCTCATAGAGACTTATATGTAAATAATTCCGCTTTTTTACTCTATGACTACAACATTCGAATCTTCTTATCTGACTTTTGCGTTTATTTGTCTTTTTCTTATTTTGCCGTGCGTCTGTCTGTGTATGCGTGTTGTTACAGTTTCAACAGAACTCACAAAACCAAACATTTTTTCAATAAAGATATAAATCATCCAATAATGATCATTTGTCTCATTTTGCTTTTTGATCTTATATTGAAATGTTTACTTTCGTGAAATACGATCTAAAAGAAATGTTCAAATATACGAGTAGAAATTTGAACTTCACCGACGCGACAGACATCCTTGGCAACATCTCTCCTATACTTGTTTATTGCATTTCTTCAGGATTAACTAAAAGGATGTTGAAGATATGTGTCCAAAAATAGAATGTATAAAACAATGTCTCTACGATTAGTAACAACAATTACATCGTATTTTACATTTTAATCCTCCAGGGTTTGCGCTAACAACTGTCTTTCAAACACAGAAAATTGAAATAATGTTCTATGGATATGAAGTCATCATGATAAATATACTATATTCTATGACGAATTTAATAATGATGTTTTATGGAATGGTTTTATTCAATGAATCATTCATATGTTATACTGATTCTATTATATTAAAAGATGATAGGTTTCATTTCAAACGCTTGTTGAGAGAACAAATGTTTTTATTAAGTAAAAAAGTTTTATCCAAAAAAATGAAGTATTGATAGAAAAAAATTAAATTCGAAAATATTCTATATTAAATATTAAGCGAGATTATTCAATCTGAAGTTAATAACTTTCCCAGTTTATTCATTTTTTTTTATTTAAGATTTAGAATCATTTGACTGTTTTTTTTTTATGTAGATCAAATATTTTGATTAAAAAAATTGAATATAAACTTATGTTAAATTTTCAAAATTGAACATGATGAAAATTTCCTTGAAAGATAACGTTATTTAAAGAAATAATACATTAGTTTGTGACGGTGAATTAAACAAATATGTAGAATTTGTTAAACACAAACAGTCAACATTAATAGACAAATATATTTCAGTTAGAATGCTTCTTTATAACATAACCTGAGTTTGTTTTCATGAATAAAAAAAAAAATGAGTTGTTTGGTTATATTTAAAAACATTTCAAATCGATTGAGTCAATTTTTATTTTTATTTTTTTCTCATTTAAAATATCCCGTTGTGAAATTTCAAATGAAAAAGAAAACTAATGCACGCTATGCACATTTTTTATTTGCATTCGACGACAACAGAAATAATACTCAATAGATTGACATATTTAAAAATTAATCAACACTTGAAAATCTCTTTTTCTTTCAATGTCTATATACAATTTTAACAAACAACAAATGCAAACGACGAGAAATATAATAAGAAGAAAAAGAATTTCACATCAAATAACAAAATTTTTTTCTAGCACTAGAAACAACGAACAATAGCAAATTGACGATATTCGTGTATTAACAAGAGTTCATTAAAGATTATATTCAACTTCATTCTTCAAAACAAAAAATATTAGATCACAAAAAATAATAAAAATATAATAAAACAACATTTGTACCGTATAATTAGGTCAAAAAAATATTGTCAAAATTTATTATATGAATCTACCAGATATTAATCCAAATTTACCATGTTTACGTCTATTGACATATTCTCGTATAGGAAAGCGTCGATTGTCAAGTAGTACTGGTTCTAAAAGTACTCATTCATCATCTACATCAGCTTCAACACAATCAAAAAATTTACATTCAGTACCAATACTTATACAATTGTGTATTTATCCTGATGAAGATTATGCATATCAAACAATGAAAACTTTATTTTCATCACGTTATCATTCTTCACCAAATGTATGGGATGAATTTGGTTGTAATATTCTTATGTATACACTTCGTTATCAACGTTATCAATTATTTGATTTTTTATTAAATGAAACATCATTAGATCTTAATCTTCGATCAAAAGATCGACAAGGTAATACAATTCTTCATTATGCTGTTATTTATGGAAAAGATGATACGAAAATTATGGAGAATTTAATTGAAAAATTTCTTAAATTTGGTATTGATATTGATGAAAGAAATATTTTTGGATTTACACCATTACTTTTTGGTAAAATTTAAAAATAATTCTGATAAGATATTAACATTTTTATTCATATTTCTAGCGATGTTTTGCGGACGATATGATCTTGTTTTAACTTTATTAACTAAAACAGATGCATCACCATTTGTTCGAGATTATATTCAATTAACAAATATGCTTGATTATATTGAAATTGATGCAAAACATAGAGAATTTTATAAGACAATTCAAAATAAGTCTGTTTTTTTTAATTGAATAAATAATAAACAGACTGAGTTATTTTTAGTCGTTTACATTCTCAAGATTCTTGTTTGACTCGTGAATCAACTCGTTTATGTATACAACTTCATAAAACTCTTCCTCCTCAATCAAATTCTCCATGTCAAACGATTCAACATCATCCTTATATGAATTTTTTTGAAAATATTTTTCCACGAGCTGTACAAGATCGTTCAGGATCAATTCGTTCATCAATTTTAAAAATGCTTGATAAAAAATCTTTATCATCAGATTTAACATGTCTTATTCAATATATAAATCAACGTTATCCACGTATAAATACTCTAAGAAAATCTGACAATTATCGAAATATAACAAAAACAAAACTTCCTTTTCAATGTGAAAATTCTAAAACAAATGTTCATAATATTTTCAATCTATTCGATCCAGATTTGAGACCTAAAGCAAGAATATCAAAAATAATAACAACAGAACATTCACAACATGTCAAAACACCAATTACATTCAAACGTTTAGGTACTAAACTAACAGTACTTGCTGCTCTTTCTCGACCTCAAACTAGTAATAAAACTGCCGACTTAATTACAACAATTGGTACCAAATAATACCTATTCTTTATAAAATTATTTCTTTTATAAACTTAACTAAATCTCAATATTATTTTGGAACTTTTGATTTCAAAAAAAAATTTTTTTTTTATCAGTTTTTATATTGTTTTATAGTTAGTATTCATTAAAATTTTGCATTCTTATTAAAAATGGATCAATTAATATACACTTGTCGTAGCAGAGGGGTCACGATAAATGATCCAATAAAATATTCGACATTAAATGCATTAAAAATAAATCACTCTAGTTGACTTTGAACGTTTTTTATGTATAAAATTCGTCGATATCTGTATTAATAAGAGATTTAATTATGTATAATAATCGTACGAATTTCGAAAGGTCATCATATCTAGATACATTAAGTGCAAATGACTGGCGTGTAGTTTTTTTTTTCCTTTAATCATTGTTGGTATCTGTCTAATTTATTTAGAATGAGCGAAAAAAAATATATATAAAGTGTTCGTTAATAATGAACTGCGACAAATAGGAATTGAATCGTTTATTATATGTTCATGTCGAGGTATATGTTATAGTTAGAGTTTATGCAGTTGATATTTTGACCTTTTTCTTTCGCTTATGATGAATCGTATATCATTTATTCAAATGATTCTAAAATATTTAACGCTGATGTTTTTTTGCTATCATTCTTTAAATGCACTCGTGCTGTCATTAGTTCAAATTTTCTCTATGGACATAGAATAAACGGGGACAGATACAGAATAGTTACATAATCAATCCCTGGATAATATTTATTCCTTCTATGACGAATAACATATTTCAGCTGCTAAGCGGTCGTCTTTTTTCTAACGATATGGTCTTCTCTCTTCTTCTCTCGTTGTTCGGATGTATTATCCTTGCCGTTATTTCATCATTTTTACCTTTAACTCGACGCTCGATCACCCCCAGCGGCGGTGACGAGTTGTCTGTGCTTATTTAGTCTAACGGTTTATTGTTGATCTTCGATTTTGAAAAAGAGATCTTTCAATAAAAAAAAACAAAGTCTTGTTTGTGTCATTATCATCTTCTACAATTCCAGTCTCGATCAGAGTGAAGACTTTATTTTTGAAAAAAAAAATTATTTATTTATTATTATTATTATATATGTTTTACTAGTAGAGTCATGCATTCGATAAACTCCTCACATCGTGCATCGGGAGAAATTCCGTCGTCGATGTCATTGAGAGAAACACATATTGTAAATCGTTTTTTGCTCATTCTTATTCGTTTATTTTTTTTTTTGTTTTTTTCTTTGTTTATTTATTCTATGTAGTATGATATCAATAGTCTGTCGGACAAGGACAAATTCAAATTATTATCTGCTAAAGCTCTTGATTATGTTAGTATAATTCATTGATATATAAAATAAAATAATAATAATAATTTAATTATAGATTGATCAGCACTGTGTCGTATCAATTCGTCTCGATGGTACTTATATTCCACCAGAATTACGACAATTGCTTGATCATAAACGTCCACTTCATTTAAATGTTACAACTCAAGATGCATTTTCATTTGAAAGTAAATCTTTTCTTTTTCTTTTTTATTTAATTTATTTAACAGAATAAATAAAACCGTTTAATTTTTGAAAAGCATTTAAACGATGTGTTACAACATATTTATCAAGAGAACGAGAATGTGATGAAAATAGTGGTGGACAAGGAAATTGGAGTATTATCGATCAAGGAGTAATTCATCATCTTTTAAAACTTAAAATATTTATTTTATTCATATATATATTTTTTTTTTTTCAAATAAGTATCAAACAACAGTAATTATTGGATATGTATTTGATGGTATTAAAGGATATAATGTACCAAATTATATCTTTGAAAATTTGGTAAAATTTAAATTTCATTCAATTATATTTATATATAAATTATTGATTTTAGGCTTATTTTATTCGATGTCTTCGACAACAATATCGATGTATGGTTACACTTTCATGTGAATCACCAGTTGTTAAATTATCATCGAAATTAACAGTGTCTATAACGTAAATTTTATAATCTATAATTGATTATTTTGTTTTTTTTCTATTTGAATTTATTTAATAGACATGAATCACCAATAATTCGTCATTTAGCAGCAACTTATATGCAAAAATCAATGATATCTGCAGTAACACAATGTGAAATGTATCATGTTAATCTTATTTTACATCAAAGTAAATTTAAATATTTAATTTTATTTAATTTTATTTCATATGTAGATATATCACCATCAATTGGAACACCACCTCGATTAATTCAACCACCATCATTAAATGATTCACGTCTTATTATACCATCATTATCACAAAATATTAATAATAAATGGAATTCAATACCATTATCAGATGGTATTTGCTGTGCTTTTTTTCTTTCTATATTAAAATTTTTATTTCTTAATATAATTTTTAATTAAGGTCCATCAAATTGTAATGATCCACTCAATTTACATGATATATTTCAATCTGTTGCACCAACTACATTCGGATCTAGTTCGATTCGTAAGTGAATAAATTTTTAATAGAATCCATGTAAGGTTCTAATTAGAGCTGTCGGACTCAAAATTTTCGGACTAGTATTTTAATACCTTCAATAAAATTTTCTAATTGAAATAGGATAGACACTCCAAGGATACGAGATACTTTGTTTTCCAATTTTTTATATTCGGTGACTAGTGCATCATATACATTTTGGATCTAGGTCTGAGACCAACTCGATAGGCCCTAGTGCTAATTTCTAAATAGTTTCTTTAATAAAATTTTATATTTTGGATTTTTTTTTTGAGAATCGACACCATCAGTTGGTCATCCAGCGATGACTCGTCAATATCCATCATCATCAATAATTCAAAATCTTACTGTAAGCTACTAAATGAATTCAATAATTTTTACTATTGATTATAAAATTTAATTTATTGTAGAATACTCTTGAACAAATAAGATTTGATGATTGTCGTTTGAATCAACATTATTTATCTGTAAGAATGATAGTTTATTTTTTTATATGAAATTTCTTTTTTTTTTTTTTGAAATATATTTAGACAAATATACCGAATAATATTGAAACATTTAGTCCAACAACTACTAGTGGTATAGATGATTATCAACATGAAACTCGTCAACGATGTGTACCAATTGATCATGCTTCTCAATTAGGAGCCATATCTGATGTAACAGATGAAGAAGAAGGAAGGTAAATTATTAGATTAATTTTATTCAAAGAAGATATTAGTTTTTTTGTTCTTCGCTGTAAATAGTACTCGACGTGTTGATCAACGTCCTTTCTTGACACAAATTCGTACACTTCAACATCGATTTTATTCATATGGTATTCGTGTTGGTGAAGAATATTCTCGAATAACATCGATTCTTAATATTCCACCATTGATATCGATTACAGAAACTGCTCGGGAAAGAAAAATTGGTACTAAGAAACAATGGTATTTTTCACTTTTACTTGATGGTCACCTTATGCTGGCTTATGTATGGGATTCGAAGAAAAATGATGCTAAACGACGTGCATATGATACAATGGTACATCTTCTCAATACAACACATGAATTCTCAATTAAACCAGTCAAAAACAACAAATGGAAAGTAGTTAAAGCAACTCGACAACGTTAAAAACTTTTCTGTTTCTTTTTTCATTTTTTTTTTATATTCTTTTTCTTTTTATTTATTTAATAAAAAAAATCCCGTATTGAACAAAAGTTAAATTGATCAATTCTTTTTTCTTTTTGCTCAAAAACTATTAGTTCAAAATTCATATGAAATAATTTATTCATATTTTCAACGACAAAAAGACATAACCCTGTACTATCAAACTGATAAATAATCTGCTAATTTAATAAATAGGTTTTTTTTTAAATTTATTTTCTTATGCATCATTTCTATTATGATTGAATTTCTTCGTATAATTTTTGTATGCTCTTAATGTTGGTGTTTTTTTATAATGATAACTTTCATGATTGTTAGCAAGAAAAAAAAATGTTATTTTGAATTACAAATAGCAAAATGTCCGAGACTTAGATAATTTTATAGTAGTTTTTGTCCGAAGAACTTTTTAAAAATTCTCATTTTTGTGAACAATTTTATTTGAATATTCTCGTTGAAAAATTTCTTTGAACTTCAATTTTTGTCGAATATCAGATGAATATGAAAAATTGAATAAAATACATCAATAATAATTTGAGTTATCAGCCCAATTTTTATGTCTGTTATCATTGTATGAAAATAATATTTTATATGACTTTTACCTTTTCATTATAGTAAATTGATTTCATTTTTTCTTATATATTAATAAAAATTCGATTTATGATAATCAAAAATTTAAGTAGAAATCTGTCATTTATATGAAAGCAAAAAAAAAAAACGAATAAATATTAAATCGATGAAAGATATTGAATAAATCGTTATTTTGATAAGTTATTTTAATCAATCATTTGTGTTCAATTTATGAATGAAAAACTACTTTTTTCAAAGACATGCAAGCGAAAAAAGATTTTATACATCCGATAAAACTAATTTATATAAATAATTTTCTTAATAAAATCAGTACTAAAATTATAAATTTTTTTAGCTATACTAGATGCTGTACAACATCAATAGTAAATGTGAACATGGCCATGTTGTGGCAAATCAAGAAACTCTAGACTGATCGATCTGAAAAAAGCTTTTAACATAAACCTTGTGGAATTAAAATGTGAAACACAATGTAGCTGCTGTTGTCTTCACTCTCCTTTTGCTTAATCCTCGAGAAATGAGATAAGGTATTTGGTATATTGTAACAAGCCATTATCGATATGCGATCTGTGATCGTGTGTTAATAACTTATGTCATGATCTATGAGTCTCTATCTAGCGTTCGGAATGGTCTGTGACGGACTGCTACAAAGTTTTCAAGTTGTCTGCCACGTCTGTGGAGGAAGTGGGTCCAAAATTTCTATCCTATACATGTCAACATTCTTTTCAGATCCTATTTCACAATATTGGCAAACCGATAAAAGTCCACAAGTTTACAAAGATTTTTCAGATGATAAAGCTAATATTATGAGTAAAATTTCGTTCTGAATTCCTACAAACTTTATGGTTGTCTCTTTTCTTAGACTGATAAAAACCAGTAAAAAAAATGGCTGGTTTCTGAGTTATTCTTAATGGGTTAATGGAAATGGCTTCAAAAACACTTCACTTTCCTTTTTCTTGTCGCTCAGATTCTCGCAAACCATCAAGAAGAAACATCATGTTCCAATCGTTTATATATATATTTAGTTTCTCAATAATGAATATTTGACATATCTATATCTATATAGCGCGAAAAAGAGCCACTTACCCATCAAGTGATTGTTACAGTCGAAATCTTAAACTTTTTTACTCGATCGTTACAGACAAACTTAACGTTTCGTTTTGAATGACAATCCGAACCTAAATTTGATCTTTAACAAAACATGTATGAGATAAGTTTAACTCTCGTAATACAGTTTTGATTTAATTTTTTCAAAAAATCAAGTATACTTTGATTAAAGAAATGCAACAGTATGGACAAACAGAAGAAAATAAAAGATAATTTTTCAAAACAACACTAATTAATTAATTTGATAAGAGTGCTCAAAAGAAAAGAATAGCACATCTATAAAATATTTTTCAATCAGTGAAAACCAACCAGCACTGATCGATTACAACTCTGAGATAAGTGTGTAAGTGCGAATAGCTGAATGAAAGTAGTCTTGCATATGTTACTGCATAGACCAGAGTACTGGTAAGAGTAGACGAAAGATCCGAACTTATATTCACATACAAATCCACATATTGACGATGAAACATCTTAGCATTAATAATAGTAATGTTTTCGTTAAACCTGAAAGCATCATTGAAAATATTTGATATGTATACAGTACACAGTCGGAATATCATATGTTTTGTCTTAAATGCAGAACTTGTGAATTCTTATGAATCTTATATATAGCCTGACACATATATATAACATTTCTATAAGAAAACATATCAAATTATACTTCTTGTTCATTCTTTGGTGATACGAAACTTCCATCAGCAACAGATGATGATGATAATTGACATTGTGAAGATACTCCTCCATCTGTTGTAGAAACTAAATCAATATATCTTTACGAGTTAGTCCAGTTGTTCTTAATCTTCTACCAATTTTTTTCTGCATTAAATCATCAACAAGTTTATTTTTAGTTAATTGTTTCAATCGTTCTTTTAATGCAGTTTTTTCTTGTTCAAGTTGTTCATTATCATTTTGTAAAACAGCTATAGCTTCTTCACATTGTCTATAGGTAAAAAAAACGAAGGACAACATTTTCTTTCATTATTATGACTTTTAATCTACTTAATCTTTTTTTGTTCATCAATTTTAACTTCTTCTAATGTTTGCTTATATTTATTATCTTTATCTTCGAATTCTTTTTGTAAACTTTCGATTTTCTTTTCATTTAATGATAAATGTATATTTAATTCACTTAATTCATCATGTTTGATTTTAAGCATTTTTTAAACATCTAATAATTCTCCTTTTAATTCAAGTTTACTATGAATTGAATCAGATTGATTTATTGATGTTTTAAATTGTTCAGCAATTAAATAAATTGATTGTTTAGAACTTTGTTCAATTGATGTTGAATCATATGAACTTGTTTCTAATCAATTACTTATTGTTGTTAATATAGAAACTGTTTCATACATAGAATCCCTAAAGAAAAAATTCATTTGTTTTTTGTTTCAAAAAATAAAATAAATATGAAATATTTGCCAAAGACTTTCATATGGACCACTATCTTCGTTTTTTATAGACTTTATCACATGCTTGATAAGCTATATTTTCTATATCTTGCGTGCTTACTCGTTCATTAGCATCTACATAATAAAGATAAGTTGTTTTATTTGACATAGAAGGAATGATTTATCAGAAAGTAAGAGAATTTGTGTTGTTAAATCAGAACATATTTCATGGAATGTTTTTGTTAAACGATCTAAATTACGAATAGATGATTCAGTTGAAGATATACTATTTGAATCGAGAGTTAATGAACAATTTTTATCATCGTCTTGTGGTACAAGACGATTTATCTGTAAGCAAAAAAAAAACAACTCATGTTTGATACAAAGAAGTGTTGCTAGTGTTTTGGATTTATTACTTTGCCAACTTGAGCTCGCATTTGTTCATTACTTTCAATAAGACGCTTAACAAGAACAGCAAATGGACTTTGATCATTACCAGGCTAAATTATAAAATAGAAATCATCATTGAAATAAAGTTTTTTCTTTTGATTTATTTTTAAGCGTGAAATAAGAAAATAAATAATAATATGATTAATATAAATAGTCATCGTATTGTTGCTTGTTATAGTTCTGCACTATTAGACACAGTCCGACTCAGGTCAGACTCAGTTGTCAAAAAAATTTTTGATCTCGGGTAGAGCTACAATAAACAAACTGATGTTAAACTTCACATGAAACAGACGAGATTTTATTCCTTTGAATTTTGAGAGAAGTCAGTCAATCGAACCCATCGGGTCCGGGTAGAACTTGATGGGTTCTATCAGTCAGATTTACAAAAAAAGGATGTTGTATCTCTGAAAAAAGTCTGTTCAGTTGACTGAAAATTATCTCAAATCTGGCATTGAATCACAAAAAATTGACTCATAGCGAACATTGTTACTTCATTTATCAAATGTGACTATATGCAGTTTTTCCAATATTAAGTACTTCAAGCATAAGCGAAGTAACCGAGGTACTTAGAAGTTTGAAAAAACAAAGTACCATGATAGTACTCTGCAAAGTAGAAAAAACACTTTGCTTACTGATTGTGACATTATTGAAAAATTCTCTTACACGTTTGTTCACACTACCACGGAAGTATATAGCAGTAGAATGGTAATCAGCAGATAGCCGACCGTGCAAGTATCAATCTGCCACCGGTATAGTGGACATTATATCAAATGGCCTACGGACGGTTTTTGTCAGATTTGAATCATATGAGAGGTTGCTTGTTTTCTTCTTGTTTATAAACTTTGATTCCAGACAAAGTTACGAAGTACTCTTTCCTTTATTTTTATCAAATTTATCATTGAAATCTCTCTTTTTTTGTTTTAAAATCAACTTCATGCACGCGGACTTGAAAAATTACATTAAAATGATGAAGCGAACATAAAAATTAATGTCTTTTTAATTTATCGATTAAAATGGACATTTTCATCAATTCATTGCATTTGTTTCATTAGAAATGTTGCTTTTATTCAATGAATTTGAAATATATAAATTTTTATGTTCGTATCATCATCCAAAATATCATTTTTTTTTTCGTATTTTTAACATAAAATTCACAAAAATTATGACATTTTTTAACTCCTTGAGTAGTCTTGCGATGAATGTACTAACGTGCATGAACAAGAACAATAATAATTCCTTTCTATTTTCTTTCTTATATACATATGATAGTAAAAATCAATTCCGATGAATATGTGTACATATTTGTCATTATCTGTATGTTATTTTTTCACATTGTTTTTTTTTGCACAGCAACATTTTTTTTCTATAATAAGATGCGAATAGTAATAGGTTTGTATTCTTTTTTCTTTTCAGTAACAATTAAATTAACATCAATGAGAAACACAAAATTTGACTTTATGTTATAGCGTCTATTCTAAAACTTTGAGATTCATTTTTCCAAATAAGTAGAGAAATATTTTTTCACTAACTTTATTTCAGTATCAACTGAATCTTGCAAATGTTCCTATGCACACTATAAAATAAATAAATGGAATGAATATAAATTTTTATCGTATAACATATAAGAAAAAGGAGAAAAATAAATAACAACATTTATTCGCTAACAGTTTGTTGGACTGTAGAATAATTCATTATTGTTTGTATTGACGGCATCTGTCAAATAGAATACATGAGTATATATGCATATAAATATTGATACTGATAAGTTGAAAAGAATAGATCAATAAAAATAAACATGGAATATTCATGCATTGGATTAAATAATTTACCTGACGAAATTCTTATGATTATTTTTCAAAAATTGAACAATATTGACATACTTTATTCTTTCCATGATGTCAATGAACGACTAAATAAAATAATTCATGATCGAATTTTTACAAGTCATTTGAGTTTTGTCAAATGGTCATTAGATAATTTTATCGATCTATTTTCTTCTGATATAATGTTTAATCGATTTTGTTTACAAATTTTACCCTCGATTCATGATAAAATTCAATGGCTTGATCTTGATTTATCATCTATAAAACATGTTTTACGTGTTGCCAATTATCCTAACTTAGATAGTCTTGGTCTTTATAATATTGATGAAGAGTCAGCTCAATGTCTTTTTAATGGTAAGAAATTTTTATTTGAATTCTTTTTATTCTGAAACAAATGAAAGATTTATCAAAAGACTATATCATTGAATATATTGATTATATATGTTTAGATGAAACTCTTTCGAGTATTTTTAAAAATCAGATAACAACACTTTTTATTACAATATATAATAATAATGATGATAATCATGAACGAATGACACTGTCAGTGGCAAATACATGTGATAAAATCTTCACTATTTTCACTCGTCTGACTACTTTTGTATTATATGAATCATCGTATAAAAATCGTGTTCGATTAAATTTTGATAATCCATTTTTTCCTAATGTTCGTTCTTCAACTCTTTTGAAATTAATTATCAATGTACATTCTTTTGATGATTGTCTTTATCTTCTCGATGGTCGTTTTGATCAACTTCACACGCTCCATGTCGATTTGGCTAATACTTGGTGTCCAGATGAAATTATAAATCAAGTTAGTTTTACAAGAAAAAAATTCAATGTTTTCAAACAATAAAACATTTTACGTTTTAGGGCGATTTACCAAATCTAAAGTGTTTTTCTCTTTCCTGTAAACTCACAACATATGATTATAATCAAGCCATTCTTCCACTTCTCTATCGAATGTCAAATCTAGAAGAACTAGGTTTATGTCTTATGGTATATGTTAATAAAACATTTATTGATGGAAATCATTTAAAGACAAAAATTATTAAACAAATGCCACGATTAAATCAATTTACATTTTTTATTACATCATTCATCAATATTTATAATGAAATGAGTTTTCCATCAACAGAAGATATTCAACAAACATTCATTGACTTTCCATTTAATAAAATAATTTCTTATGTTGATAATTTTCCAGATAGAAAACAAAGTCAATGTTGTATTTATTCATATCCATTTCTAATGCGATATTATACTGGCATTACAAATAATTTTCCAGGTGGATTATTTGAACATGTTCGTTCGGTGTCATTATTTGATGAACAACCTTTTGAACATGAATTTTTTCTTCGAATTCAGAAATCATTTCCATTTATAGAAGAATTATCTTTAGTTAATCATAAACCACAAAACCAAAAACAATCTTATCAATCAAACAGTAATAATCAAACTTTATTGCTTATTGAATATTCTTTTCTTAATAAACTTTATATTAGCGATGTTCATGATGATTATATAGAACAATTTCTTTTTCATACTAAAACATATTTGCAAAATAATATTATTGTTTATGTTGATTATGAATCTTTACAACGAGTAACATACAATTTTACAAGAGATTCTACTCGAACTAATTGTGCCAAAATAAGTAAATTACATTTATGGGGTCAAGAAAAACGTTCCAATTCTTTAGAAGAATATTTTCCTTATGCAAAAATATACTATCAATTATATTGAAAGACAAAAAAAAAAAAATAAAGTATTAAATAAAAGAAAAACAGAATAAAATAAGAGAAAAATGTTGTTTTTTTTATTGTTGTAAAAAAATAAAATTTCTATAGAGATCAAAATAATCATGTGTGATAAATAGAAATCTGAGAAATAAATTAATTTTGTTTAAACATATGTATATGTATTATGTATTGCGTTAAAACATAAGTTCTGCAAATTTTTGTGCAGCATCAAAGATAACTATAACTTATAGGTCAATTTTTGACCAGATAATATGATATACGTAGGTTTGTAGAGGACGACTTCGTCTATTCAATGGTATATACATATATTGTCAAATTCTGCTGTGTACTGTGAAAGAAAATTAAATTGAAAAATGAGAGATTTAATGCGAGTTTTGTATATAAAAATTCAAATCAAGCACAGTCAAGCTAAAAATCTCTACGCAACAGGGTTTGATAATATTGGATCGAGGAAGTCTTCCTTTATGAACCTACATTTATTCGCTTATCTGGTTAAAAGGTTATAATCGCCTTTATTTTACGACAAAGATATGTAATATCAATCAAGAATATAATCAGAATTATTTTCGATAGCATTCACTCATCTTACTGGTAATTATTCAATCTCATGTTTTTATCGAGAATTTCAAGTATATTACTACCAAAATAATTAATGACTTTTAATGTGACTTGTTGTAACTAATCGAGTGTGACTTGTCATTCTTAGTTGTATTTTTCCAATTCCTAGCAATAAATAATGAGTTAATTGTTGGATACGAGGTCTATTCCGATGGAATCAATCATAATAAAAAATCCTTGAAATATAAATATCATCTAAACAAATCAAAATCTGTGTTTAAAGCATCGTAATATTATGTTCATTATTTGTTGAATATGATACCAAGATGTAATGAAATGTTTGATTTTCACATTCTTGTTCATGCTCAATGTGACAAAGTATCTATACTGAAGGTAACATGTAAACTATCTTTTTCCATTGAATCGTTTTCGAAAAAACTAGCTCTTGTTATAATTTAATATAGAGAAACAATACTTCCACGAGGAAGCTGCGGGTGCTTCCAGACCCAGATCCGATCGACCGGGTCCGAATCCAACGTTTTATTTTTTGTCAGGCCCCGTTCAACGTTTTTATGAATCCGCTACTACCCAAATGAGAAATACAGCAACAAGATATAATTATACGCTGAAGTTTTTTTTTTTCAGAGAGTGGCGAATAAATCGCTAAAGTCGTGATCCTTTACTTGTTCATGTACACGAAGGGTGACAGGTAATCGATGGGAAAAACTTCGGGTTTGAGCCCGACCGGATTCGGGCTCGGGTCCACAAAAACGTGGGCCCGCAGCTCTGTAAATCCCACCATATTTATGACGATTGTTTTCACACTGGATAGAAACTGTTCAACTTCAAACATGAAAAGCTATTGTTTTCTCGCCAAAATTACCTTAGTTAGTAGTGAAATCATATCGAGAACTGTCAGATAACATATCACGTTCGCATAAGAAAATAACTATTTAGGCAAAATTCTTTCAGAAGGGTGAAGTAATCGTCCTCTCGTGATGTTAGTTCATATAATCCAAAAGTTATAAATTAGACGCATTCAGTGACTAACGATTCGTCAAATAGACTGCAGAAAAATAGCCCAACAGACTATTTTTAACTCAGATAATGTGCATCTCGTTGAAACCTAATTTTCAAACTGACCTTTCTTCTTTGAAAGGAAGAATATTCCTGCTTTTCAGTTGTCTAGCAGCAGACTCAATAGCACAATATCTTCCATACAACTAATACTAGATATAGCTCTGAACAGAAGGCCAGTCTGATGGCGAGCTCTTGAGCTCTCCACACACACTAACTAGACATAGGAGTAGGTTTAGATCACAACATAGTCAGCATGCTGTCGGACGGGATAATCCGAGACAAACAGTCGTTAGTGTCTTGCCCAGAGTCATTTCATGGCTGGTGGTGCCTAAGTTTACCTTATTAATCTTCATAATAAGCCGTATTTCTTTGAATAATTAGTACCCAGCAGGAAGTATTTAGATCGAAGCAAAGTTCTAA